GTATGGGTTATTAGAAGCACCTAACAAAAAACCTGTTAGCTTTCAAGTTTCTATTTCTTATCCGTCTCCTCTCGCCACAGTCTCAACCAACTCTTTACTCCTCTTCCGTTTTCCTTCACGCTTTTTCGATTAAAAAATTCGTCCTCAAAATCACGCCATCTTCTCTATTCTTCACGTTTCGATCTTCGTTTTCCTCCGATTTTGGACTGCTTTAAAAGTAAATGCTTGTTGGAGCTGAGGAGGGAAACTGCAAGCTGAATTACTCAATGGAAAACGGCGTTTGTGATGCCGGTGTGTGCTCATCAGAGTCGGTGAACGGAAGCCAAGACGTCTGGAGCTCTAAGGAGAGTGATTCTCTCTCCGCCGACCATCTTGTTGTCATGGTCAATGGCATAATGGGGAGGTCGGAGTTCTCTGCTCCCCCATAATTATATCTTTTCTCGATTTCCCCATTTTCATTGTTCGAAAGATGAATCACCCATTAAGATTCTAATTCAATTGCATTTGGAGAGGATTTCCCCCTCTTAATTTGATGGTCTGTTCTCGTATGAAATTTTGATTGAAGTACTTTGTTTATCCAAATTTAAGAGTCCCACGAAGTATCGTTCTTCTGTGGAATTGGGGTTTTAAATTCGTTTGGTGGGTTCTTTAGTTTCATGATTTATGTTCCGGGATAAGATTGTTTGTCGTTTGATCAGTATCTGAATTTACTTTTGAAGCTATGTTTCAATTTCCAAGCTTATAACGGTTCCACTTCCATATGGATGAAAAATGAACAAGATATTTATGCCCAAACCACGCCGACTTCAATATATTATTCTCTCATCGGTTCAGGACATCGTAGATTTTCAAGATATTTATGCCCAATTTTTTTCCCCGCTCTAGTGGGTAGTGATTTGATTTTTTGGAAATGAAATATCAACTTAGCGTTGCTTGAATTGGACTTGATCAGCCAATCGGGTAATGGCTGTTCTTTAATCATCTGTTCCAAGTCAACTGTTCACCTAACATTTTAGCACAAACAACCTGCGGAAAGCTTATGTCATTTGATTATTCAAATTGTTTTTAACTTGTCTGTGCAGTATCACTGATTGGCAGTACGCGGCAGAGCGATTCGTTAAAAGGCTTCCTGACAAGGTTTTTGTTCATCGTAAGTAGCATTGTCACTTCCCGATCTCATGTTCTAGAAACCAAGGCTTTATTGGACGTTGAAGCATACATGGTCCAGGTTGAGTTAGATTAAGAGATGTTTCAGAATCAACTTAACTGTATGTGTTACAAATTTGTCCATCTAAATGAACATAGTTAGATGATGAATTCAACTTAACCCATCCTTGTAAATTTTAATATTGTCACTACTTTTTATATGGGTCATTTGTTTCATTTATCAATGAAATTGTTTCTCACCTTACAAATAGTCATTTCTATACTTTGAAGTCTTAACTACCTGGTACGGCGATAAACATTTAGTTAATTTATTTCTTTGCCTCTCTCGTCTTCTCAGTATTAATAATTTATTTGTAGGTAGTGAGCGAAATGTGTCTAAATTGACACTAGATGGCGTTGATGTGATGGGTGACCGATTGGCTGAAGAGGTCAGGTTGCATTTAGGCTTGATATTTCATTTGATTAGCATTTGACTAATTGATTGCAGAGTCTCTTTTTGTTACATTAGTACCCAAATCTGATGATTGTTTTTGAACATTCCAGGTTCTTGAAGTGATTCAAAGAAAGCCCAATCTGCGGAAGATCTCCTTTGTTGCACATTCTGTGGGAGGATTAGTGGCACGGTATACCATTGGGAAACTGTATAGACCGCCTGAGACTGAGAAATTAGAGGCTTCATCCGAAAACGGACACCTGCAAGAGTCATATGGTACAATAGGTGGTCTAGAGGCTGTGAACTTCATCACTGTTGCCACACCGCACCTTGGTTCAAGGGGTAATAAGCAGGTATCTAGACATCCTTTTCCTGTTCGTGCATTTGAGAGTAATTTATTTTTAAACGTCAGCGGCAACTTGTGCATCATTTTCCGGATATGGTAAGTAACAAAGTGGGCCTTCAAGTGCCGTAGTAGTTGGCTTTGGATATTTGAAGAGGTTGGATTAGTCTGTTGGCACCGTTTGGAAAAGTAAAAAAGTTCCATTCCAGGATGTAATGGATATTGGATTCTTTTTATTCTTTTAACTTATCTCAATGAAAGTTTGGTTTCCTATAAAAATAGTATTTCAATTCAAGAAACTCATTTGCAACTTGGCAAGTTATTTCCCAGTAATGGTTATTACTGATCCGAAAAGAGAAAACACAGAAATATTATAAAATAAAGGCAGGATCTTGTTATTATGATAATTTTTATTTTTTTTCCCTCCGAAATAATGTCTTGTAGAATAAAAAGGCTAAAAGAAAATTGAAAGCTAAGGATAAAAATCGTTTTCTGAATTGGAGTGATTTTTTGTAACCCGTTTACCAGGTTCTCTCCCTTTTGTTCCTAATTTCATTTCATCTGAAATTGTTTACTCTAAAAAAAAAAAAATTGTTTTCTGAATAGCTCCTTAGAAAATATTGATAACATTTTATTCTTGAAATTTGGTTCTTATAAAAGCATACCAATAGACGTAGCTCTCTCACTATTAATTTTACCCATAACCCTCTCATACTTTATTGTGGGTGGGCGTCTTGAACAGTGGGGTGTCCTTTGGTTTTCTTTTTATTAAAGATGTTTAGCATTTTGCAGGCTATCTTTTGTTGAGTATTCTTTTATGGAAAGTTCTGTTTATTACACTAATAACAGGTAGCTCATTCAGGATTATAACATTAGTCGGAATTATATTTTCATTACAATTATTTTCCAGTTTTCATTACAAATATTGTGACAATATATGGTATAAGCTACAGTAAGACACTGTAAGTCAAAAAATCTTATGATTGATGGTAGTTATACTCCAACCATTTATAGTTAATGAAGGTTGTGTGACTTCTCTCCCTCTCTTCTCCTTATGGAGGGGATCTTCTTGGCTCTTGGCTATTTATGTTTTTTAGTCAGCATCTCATCGCAATAGCGATTATTATCCTTGGTGTTCTGCAATATCCGTTGTCTGATTTTGTCAATATTGTCGACGTACTTGCAACATCTGTGCTGTTCTATCACATCTTTATTAGCTGTAAAAATAGTTATTTCCATCATTGGTGAATCTATCAAGTTTCACAGTAGGTTAAAAATTATTGGAAACTTATCTATAACCCTTCCATTACACTAAGTTAAATAATCTATTATTAGAACCGATACATGGAATGTGTTGTGAGACATTGCAGACATCTAAAACTGTGAAGTTCAATATCATTTGTATATATCTATATTTTTTTTATGAGAAAAAAAGAGGATATATTAAAAAACAACCCTGAAAAGGGGAAGAACAAACTAAAGGTGGAGGGTAGAGAGAACCCTCCCCAAGAAACTACTCCCCAAGAAACTATACAATCAAGGCTTTCCAATCTTGTATAATCAAAAGCAAACCATATCTTGTATAATCAAAAGCAAACCATAGTTGTGGATTGAAGCCCAAAAATAAAAAACCCCAAACCATTAAATAACATTTGTAGTCTAATGGTTTGGGGTTTTCTCCCCTTTTATATATTTCTCCAAATCAATAAAAATTGTTTCTTATAGAAAAAATTAAAATATAACTTTTCCAAGCATCTATCCATGTTGTAATTCTAGTGATATTTTCTTCAGATACTTTTTTAAGTATCAGCTGTTGACGTGTTAGTCAATACAACTTTTCATGTCTATGGTCTTGTACTATTGTTAATCTTGGTTTTTCTTGCCAGGTACCGTTTCTTTTTGGTCTAACTGCGATTGAGAAAATTGCAAGTTTGATTATATATTGGATATTTAGAAGAACAGGCCAACATCTTTTTCTGACTGACGATGATGGAGGAAAGCCTCCACTCGTTCAACGCATGATCGAAGACCAAGGGGAATACTACTTCATGTAATTATCAACATTTATTTATTGAGCACGATCTTTTGAGTGGCAAAATTCTTGGAGTTTCATGATAGAGTGATGAAAATTTGTCTATATGCAGGTCTGCGTTGAAGTCATTCAAACGTAGGGTCGTCTATTCTAATGTTGACTATGACTGTATCCTTTCTTTTTCTGCCCATATAGCCAATATCAATTCTTTTAAGGTTATTGATTGATGTTCAAATTATTATTTTTTGTTTTCCATTACAATTTATTGTAAAGCTTTTGTTGGTTGGAGAACATCATCAATTAGACGTATTAATGAGTTGCCAAAGGTACTTTTCCCCACCTTTTTCTGTAGTAGTTTAACCACTTGATATTTTGATAACCAATTGCTGAATTTGACTATTATGACCAATGATCACTCCGTATTATTTTCAAAATTTCTGGATTATCAGTGGGAAGATGCCGTCAATGAAAAGTATCCTCATGTTGTTTATGAAGAACACTGCAAGGGTACTGATCCTGAGAAGTGTGAACCAGCCTCGACAGAAGTTAGCTATCCTGAAAGGCTGGAAGGTTTGTATTTTCTCTCCTGTTGAAGTTACATGCATTTTGTATCGTATGCCAATGTCGACATCTAAATATTGGAAGCTTTAGTTGTCTAACATGGTTAGTTTGTTCATGGATTTGGTCCTTCAGAGGAACTGGTGACAGGTCTATCTCGTCTGTCATGGGAAAAAGTAGATGTTAGCTTTCATCGCTCAAGACAGAGGCTTGCAGCTCACAGCATTATTCAGGTAGCTCTCTCTATCTTTCTTTCCCATGCACACAGACACACAGATTCTCTCTCTCTTACACACCCTCTTTGTAGCACTTCCGACACCTAAACATTCCTGTCGTAGTTCATTCAATATCTTCCGATGGTCAATCTTCTTACACCACAACAGATAACACAGCCTCCATTCTTTACCATAGGCCCGCCCTTTGTTGACTGTAATGGCATAGTATTTCTATATTATTGCTGTCTGCTTTTCTTCTCACTAGATTTCCACCTTTAAGTGATTATTTTCCTTGAAATACCTAGAAAAGCCTTTAATTCAAATAGAATACATCTTTTGTAAAATATAAAACTTCTGTTGCAGCATTCTGTGCTGTACTTGGTGTCTGCCATAACTAGAGTTATCTACTATTTCTGATTTCAGAGACTGGAATTTCTTGTTGGTTTTGTTCTTTACTGATAAGGGCTTCGGGCCTTGATAACATTTTTCTTGTTATGATTTCCTGTTTTTAAAGAGTTTTTACCCTAATCTACTCTCAAAATAGTTTTTTAAATCATAACAAAATTTTTAAGTCTAAAATCAAAAAGGTTTAACAAAACACTTACTTCTTCTTTTTTTATTTTTTATAATTTAACTACAGTTCTAGAGCTATTTTTAAGAAGTGAAAGTTAAACAAATATAAAACATAGGTATGAGTATGTGTTATAAGATTAAGTTTGGGAAATCGAAAACAAAAAACAAAATTGTTATCGGGCGGACTTTCTCTGCTTGTTCTGAATGAGTAACCATCGAAAGACCGGTAGTATAACAAATTGAACTGCTATAAAGAAAAAGAAGTACAAATCTTGTTGAAGTTTTCCATTAGACTTATTGGTTGGTCTCACTGGTAAGTCATTTTAACTGGACGAGCTTGGTCAGACAGCTGATTAGTCCATTGCAGCTCTACCAGATTAACCCAGTTCTACTACCTTGACGAATGTGCAGTTTCTTATTTTCTAAATGTTTATCCTTCCACTTTGTGGCATCGACAGGTGAAAGATCACACCGTGCATATAGAAGGTGCTGATGTTATAGATCACATAATCGATCATTTTCAAACTTGAACTGCTAACAAACACAACCACAATTACATACTAGAGATATCGTTCATCGTGGGTAAGCTTTAATTTATTAATGCTGTATTCTTGTTTTAAATATATTAGGTTGTTTTTCAAATAGGCTATATATATATATATATATATATATATATATATATATATATATATATATATATATTTGTTTCAGTGCTTTTTGAATTTAGTATTTATTGTTTAAAAGTTCCAATTTAGTTCATTATGTTTTAACATTTTAAAATTGTACTCTGCTAAAATTGGTGAATAGGTTACATGACGTGATATTTAGTTAGTTGACATAAATTTAAAGGTGAGAGCGATCGATTTCTCAGATAGGTGGAGAAAATGAGAAACTTTCCTCTGCTATGTGGTATAGCTCCTCTAATTTTACACTAACTTACCAAGTATCGCACTATGTAGGCTTGTCATTTGATTGGTTTTAACATTCATTGTTGGGAAGAATAGAATTAAGAAATGTTAAATAAGAGACTTTTTAAATAATAGAGACTAAATTAAAAAATAGCCGAACATTAGTAGCACTTATATTTAGCCTTGGAAAAATAAATTACAAGAGTTAGATATTAGTAGCACTTATATTTAGCCTTGGAAAAATAAATTTCAAGTGTTAATAGGATCTAATTACAAGAGTTAGATGTTATTGCCCATATGAGTATAATTCAGAAGTAAATGATATGTTTTTTCTTGAGTCCAACGTGTGGAAGTAGTATTTAGGTCCGCAGTTCCTTTCTTAAAGGTCAGAGTTTAAATCCTCGTATCCTCGTACAAATAGCAAACAGAAATGTTATTAAATCATTCTAATATCCCCTCATTTGTGATTTGCTGACTCTGGAATTTGACTTACTGCAGGTCGGAGATGCTTTCGTTCTCTAAAAAGACTTGTTTCCACGAAACCTATGATTAAAATTTATCGATCTCACTTCATCCATTATATTATAAACTGTGCAAGAATGGATGAACTAATGTTTCTTATGACAGATAATCACTATAATTGTAGTAATACTAGTTTAGCTAAGTGATAAGTAGAGCCAAGACCATGTTTCAAGAAACAAATGGAAAATGTTGGATCAGAAATCACAAAGAACATGGTTCCTCTGTAAGTAAACTAAGATTTCGATAAAAGTTTGAACTTAGATTATGCTTCTTTTTTCTTTTTTACCAACATTCAAATTTTTTTTTTTTCACTTTCAATATATCATATTCTACGAACTCGAACAGTCGTTTTTCTATCCTTATATTGATGGTGATGCTAATTTCACCCTAATCAAATTGATCAATTTAAAATTCTGAAGTCATATCCAGAGGTGTACTAAATCTTATCTTAAATTTTTAACTTATCATGTTGGATTTTAGACTAAGATAAGTGTTGTAATTTCTACCGTTAGTACCATTTCTACTATTTTTGTAAGACAAATTTTCACTGATTGAAAAAGACAATGTAAAGATTTCTAAAAATAAAGTTCGGTATAAAGTTAACCTCAAAATTTACCATTGAATAACTTATCAAAGCTTACCATTTTCAAAAGAAAGTGAGCTCTACTGTGTCGTTTAAATTTTATCAAATTTGCATCAAAACTATTTTTTTTCTTTGACAGAGGCCAAAAATATGTTTTATAATTTATTGAACTCATGTGAATAAGAAATATATCTTTTAAATAATTCCTCAAACAAACACCTAAATATAAAGGTAAAAGTTGTAATACATATTTAATTAAAAGGTAAAATTTGCCATTTTTTTTTAAAGTTTAAAATAAAAGAAGACTAAAAGTTGCTTAATGGAAAGAATCATGGAATTAACCAAAAACCAACAAAATTTGTCCATAAGTTTTTACCATTTTTCCAATTTTATAAGTAAACAAATTCCGTTTGGTTGGTTGGTTCCACGGTATTAAAATTTCGATTGAGATATTTCTATCACTCAACATCCACATGAAAGATGAATCATAATTTTCATAATATGACAAAAGAATCATTAATATAAATATAATATTAATACTAATAATTTTAACTTATTTGAAAAATAATAAAATATTTATTTATTAATTTAAATAAATTTTGTATTTTTAAAATTTTCTCATAGATAATCTATCATTGAAGAAAAGAGATATACACCGTTTAAAATTGTATAGAAACAGTATAGATGGTAAGCTTACATAATTATATGAGACAAACTGAAAATCACTTTTATAGTGTTTAAAATGAAATGAAAAAATAATAATATTTGTATAAATACATATTCATTTTATGCATTTAATATAATTTTCCATTTCGCTTTTAATTTTGGCTCGCACCGGTAAGTGGCAACACGCGTATATTTTCTAGAGACAACCGCTCCAGTATTCTCTCTCCAACACCAATCACTCGCGGGAAAATTTCCCCCAGCCCTCATTCTGCCAAAAACTATATAGAGCGCCAAATCCTCCTATCAAGCTTCCAATTCACTCGCTGTTCCGTTTCTCGTTGAATCAAACTCGTTTCGTTCCATCTGAAAAATTCTCTACCTGCAAGAAGTTCGGAATCTCCACTTCCATGGATATTGCAATCTCCACTCCATCGCTTCACCTTTACTCCTCTCCCCTTTCCTTCAATTCCCGCACTGCGATCTCGCTTCAGGCTCCTAGAGGTTGGAATGCGCATTCCACGGGCTTGCTCTTCGGTTCTCATCGGGTTGGGCGAAGGATCATCACTGTCAAAGCAGATCAGTCTTCTTCTGGAGCCACGGACGATGGTTTCATCATCGAAGACGTCCCTCACTTGACAGACTTTCTTCCTGACTTACCGGTAATTCTCATTTCTCAAACGTTAATTACAAAGTTTGGTGCTACATTTGTTCGATTCTATGTTGTGCACAATGATTTAGATGATTTTAACTATCGTGTTATTATGCTTTTGTATGCCTTGAGCACACGTGTAATTCTACTTGCTATTTGCTGTTTGTGGCTTCTATGTGGTTTAGATTCTCAATTTCGGTTGGAACAGGGCCCGTTTTCTTGTTATGCCCCCATCTAGCCACTTTTACTCGTTCAAGGATTTTTCTCTGCGTTATATTTATTTTATATATATAAAGATAGACAGATATCGATAGAATTTAATATCTCTGCATCGCTTGTTTATTGAACGAATTATTCTGCAAACCATCTTTTGGTCGGAGTCTTTAGGAGGTGGTCGATTGTTTGTTCTGAAGTTCTCATTACTTTCTGGTGAAAATTTGTTGCACTCATAACCAGAGATTAGGAGACGCGAGGTGCTGCTAGATCGCATATCCTGGAAATTCAATTATTTTATTTGTAATTGTGACCTTTGAGTGATAATGTTATTTTTTCACGTCTGACGTAGTTTGGTCTTTGGGTATAGTATGAATTACGATCTGCTCGATCATTTAAGAAGAGTAGTTGGTCCGTAATCTGATGTGAAAAATTTTATTAAAGCAAGGAATCTGAAAATTTAAAGTTCTTTTATTTCGAAGCTAGTTGTCTTTTTGGTCGTGTATTGACATGAGAAAATCAACCATGTTCAAATTGAGACACGATGAGATTTGAAAATAGGAGTTTTATAATCCTATTACTTCTACAAAATTAGATTTTAGTGTATTATTCCATTGGGATTGTCTAATTATCAATAAGGATAACGAGTTTAAAAGTGAATGCATTTTTTAATTCTAGTTGGTTCAACAATTACAAATTTGAATACATTAGAGTTGGACAATGCTAAAATCTTTTTGGGCTTTGGTTATATGAATAATTTTTGTGTGAATATTCAACATACGGCTTCTTGGTGGGCTACAACCCACAAGAAGAATTTTTGTAATTATAATCTTCAAATGATTATACGTGCTTGGAAAGCTGCTATTGTATAGTTCCTAGGGGAGGGTTTTCTCAACCATCTGGCTTTAAGCTGTTTTGTGAATTGGAATATTTTCTCTGTTTCTTATAAAAAAAATATGAATAATTATTATCACATTGATTCCTTATATTATTAGCATGCATAAGCCTGAAAAACCACTGATGTAAATTCATTACCATTTGCTTTCCTTTAGTCATATCCAAATCAACTGCAAAACAGTCGGGCTTATGCAATTGTCAAGTAAGTGCATTGATAATGTTTTCAATTAGTCCTGTTATTACAATTTAACCTGCATCCAAGTCAAGTTATCCGTTCATACTTTAGAACCCCTTTTTGTTTATTATTTATCAGGTTGTAAATGTTTCAGGGAAACTTTTGTAAAGTCAGAAGATTTTGTTGCACAAAAAGTAGGTGTATCATCTCTCTCTCCTTTGATATTTAATATTATTTTTCTTGTTATTTAAAAAAGTTTTGGGTAGTATAATTACTGATGTGAAATCTTTGTTCGTTATGCACTGGTTCCAGATTGTAGTTACGAAAGATAGCTCTAGAGGAGTACATTTTCGGCGTGCAGGTCCCCGTGAAAAGGTATCCTCTTATTCTAATCATGTCTGTTGAAACTTAAATGATGAACCAAGTACTTCTTGATGCAGGTTTATTTCAAGTCAGATGAGGTGCGTGCTTGTGTAGTAACATGTGGGGGATTATGCCCTGGGATTAACACAGTGGTTCGGGAGATAGTCTGTGGCTTGAACTATATGTATGGTGTTAATGATATACTTGGAATTGAGGTATGAAAAATATTTTTATATCCCTAACGTTTCCTAATATTTGCTTTACCCTATTTTTATCTTTCAATTTAAGCTTGTTATTCCCCACGGATAGTACAAGGACTAGCACAAGTGCACAACAATTATTTTTGTTGATAATGTCATGGTTGCAATCCTTTTCCAACTTCTGTCTAAATGTGCAAGTGCTAATTTAATGGAATTATCGCATGTTTTAGTTTGTCAGTCTTCAAGTCCAAAGACTATAAGTCTACAAGTTCCATGGTAATTTTTCTCGTTGATTGATGTAAAATTTGAATTTCCCCCAATGGTAAAGGGTCTACTCCTAATTACATTAAACACACCCTTGGCAAGGGAGTCATTACTAGATTTGCCTATTAAAATGATGAAAAGATGCCTTTAATTTAACGAAATAAGCTGTATATGTACAAAAAGAGAATATGATAAGATACTGGGGTTTTGAGGTTCAAGAAAAAATGTGATTAAGATCCAAAGATCGCCAAACTTGAGTTGTCAATTGCATAGTGACAAGTAGGTAAAGGACTTTATTATCCTCATGGAGACCAAGCTCAGGAGTTAGGAGGTGGTTAAAATCTCTATGGAGCTCTAGAGATATTGTTTGGTACTCTGGATGCATATGGCTCTTTTTGTGTATCTTCATGTTGTGGAAGGATAATTCTATTATTGTTCCAGAAGTTGTGGAGGGGTCTTTCTCCCTTTCGGTGGCTTTTATCATGTCTGATGGCTTTTTTTGGTGGCCGTCCAATATTAATGGTCTGGCATCCCATGGTTCCAGAGCTCCTTTTTGGAAGGAGCTGATTTACAAGGCTTTTGTCATCTTACTTGGTTGTTGGGTGTTCATTTTAACGTTGTTCGGAATCTTGGAACCAGTGCATAATTAACAAAGATTTCGAAACTAAACATAATATGATTGAATCAAAACCATAAGGTTCAAATAATTTTGTATTTTAAAATAAACACACTATGATTTAGGAATAACATAGAGTTATGTTTCAGCCCTTGAAATTGGGTTTATTGGTTGATTGACTGTCCTGATCTATTTTTATGTTTTTATCGTATTTTGTTATGCTATTGCATATCATCAGGGAGGATATAGAGGGTTTTACTCCAAAAATACATTAAAATTGACACCTAAAGTTGTCAACAATATCCACAAACACGGTGGTACTTTTCTTCGTACTTCACGAGGAGGCCATGATACAAATAAGATTGTTGATAATATCCAGGATCGTGGAATAAATCAGGTACATATATTTTTTCTCTTCTCTCAACTGTAACAGGGAAAAGTGAAAAGACTAGATGCCTAATTCAGAGAGAAGCGAGAGCAAAAAAAGAAAAAAAAAGGAGTAGAAAAAGACAATAGAGGGAATGCAACAGAACAATTAATGTCTTCCTATGGTCTAGGTGTATATCATAGGTGGTGATGGTACTCAAAGAGGAGCAGCTTTGATTTATCAGGTGATTGACTCTTCTTATAATTTCACCATTGTTCCTTAACAATTCATTTGTTTTGCCATTTTTTGGATTGAAGTAAATTGGCCCACTTCTTCTGAAGGAAGTTGCAGAACGTGGTCTTCAAGTTGCTGTTGCTGGGATCCCCAAGACAATTGATAATGACGTTGCTGTAAGTATTTTTCTGGACTCATTTTCAGAAATGTCTAGAAAGGTGTGAGAAATCTCATCTGTTGTCAAAATTTTCGTGATTTAGTTTCTCTTTTTCCATCACATGGGGAAAATCGAGATTGTCTTCACTTTTAAGACCCAGCCGTGGATGTCTATCTATTTGTATTTCTAGTTTCGATGAAATTTATTATAGTTATGCACTGGATAATGCATAATGAGCAGACTTGATTAACGTAAAGCACTTGTGCTTTACTTACTGTATCTTTGAAGGTTCAATATTCCAAGTGATGAATGATACATTTATTTGGCAACAGAACTCATCATATGAGTCTATACGAACGGTGCATATTTCTTGATAATAGGACTAGTACTTGGATAAATAGATTTGTAGTTTGATCGAAAGCTTCTACTGACTTCAGTGCCTGGATATCTAGACATCTAGATTTATCTTTAGTTCTATCAATGGAATTATAAATAGTGTAGATATAGTACATATGCACGTGGAAGAAAAGTTGGATGACTGTATGGATGTAGGACATTGTTAGGAATAGTAGTGGGGAAATATTAGGATATTAGAAGGGCATTTTAGTCATTAGCTAATGAGTTTATTAATAGAATGACTATAAGTAGAGTGGGTTGGAGGATCTTTCGTATGGTAGATTTTAAATTTTAGGAAATGGTTCTGGGGGAGAACTTGGCCTCTCAAATGCTCAGTACCTTTGTAATTTTCTTTGATAGTGTAATATACTTCCGCTCCTATTTTTATGGATTTCCAGTCTTTGGTTCTGTGTTAAGCTTTTCTCCCCCTATTAATTCTGAAATTAAGATTTTTGTGTATTATGATATTTTAGGTGATAGACAAATCTTTTGGTTTTGATACTGCGGTCGAAGAAGCCCAGAGGGCCATTAACGCTGCTCATGTTGAGGTCGAAAGTGTAGACAATGGAGTTGGAATTGTTAAACTCATGGGTCGATATAGTGGTACTTGTATATAAACCTTTACAATGATAATATCAATTATTCCTAAGATTTAACACCCAATTTATTTATTTAATTTTATATTTTTATTTTTCGCACGTTTTTGTGTTTTATGTTTTCTTATGGCAGGTTTTATTGCCACCATTGCAACTTTGGCAAGTAGAGACGTGGTTAGACTACATACCATCTTATTAAAATTCAATTTGGTTGCAATTCTGTTTGCCATTCCCCTATTGTATTTCATGTTGTGATTCAGTAAATTATTTTTCTGTTAAAATTGTTGTTAATCTTAGAAATATGAGCCTTCTCAGTTGAGGATTAATATTATCTTTGAATCCTTTTCATTAAATCAATGAAAAGTTCGTTTTTTGTTAAAAAAAAAAGGATATGGTCCAGAATTTGCCCACCATATGTGTCTAATTGTGAAATTTAAAGATAATGATGATTAACATATCCTATGTCGTTTTACTTCCTGATTTAGTGAAATGAGTCGTGGCGTGTTTAATGTATTTCACGTTGGATTTTAAAGGTTAGTTGTATCAAATTCTTAAGCCTGCTTAAATGGTGTAGGAAACCTCATATCTTACTTTTGTTTGGATGGTGGTGAGTGATAAAGAGTTGTTCATCTTTTCCCCTTCTTTGCCAGCTGGAACATAGCTCTGGAAGTTGGTCAATTAATGGCTGAATATATGTCTTCTTATAACTTTTAGGTGCTCGTTAGTCGTTACCCATGTATTTGAACTAGATCTATATCAGCTGTTTTCAGTTCAGACAAAAGAAGTAGTGTAATATAGGAAGGAAATTCTGATGATCCCCTGTATCTTGTTTTTAAAACCAGTTCTTGAATGTGATGAAGAAAGCTAGTGACATTTTCTCCTCTGTTTTACCCCTATTTGTTGGCATTAGACTTCTTTTAGCTTTATTTCTGTGAATTATGGCAACATGTACCATATTCTGTTTTGTTTGAGTGGGTTCTTTAAAAGAAGTTAAAATGACATGGGTGTGCTTCATTGTTGTAATTTTAGATTTATCGGTAAATTGACCTCAAATTTTTGTTTAGTAGCTCTATTAATAGCTATGAAATATGGCAGGATTGTTGCTTAATACCAGAATCTCCATTCTACTTGGAAGGGACTGGAGGGCTCTTTGAATTTATAGAACAGCGGCTTAAAGAGAACGGGCATGTGGTTATTGTGTTAGCAGAAGGAGCAGGACAGGACTATGTAGCTCAAGACATGCATGCATTTGAGGAGAAAGATGCATCAGGAAATAGATTACTACTAGATGTCGGTCCGTGGTTATCTCAAAAGATTAAGGTGTGAGATGGTTAGATCCTTGCTTGATTGTTTGGTTTTATTTTCAAGCCTCCTTTCAAATGGACCTTCCCTTGGCCTTCGTTAATGATTCTCTCATGGTTAACTCGTGATCATGATTTAAGAATTCTCAAAGTCATGCCAGAGATTCATCTCTATTTATATTTTGAATGATATAAAAGTGAAGTATAAGCTACCATAATACTTCTCCTGGGAATTTTCGGAAGAAAGAAAATAGATTTTGAAAATGGTGTGATGCATAGGTTCAAAAAAAAAAAAAAAAGGAAATGGTGTGACGCATGCTGCAATTGCAAATATTGAACTGGTAGCTTTTTTTTCTTGCCTATTATTTATGTTACAATTCTTTTTATGCGCCCTTTTTCTAGGGGATACTTATTTGTTCTTCCTATTGATAAATCAATCTTACAGAATCATTTTACAAAGGTTCAGAAGATGGCAATAAATATGAAATACATAGGTACGTCCAAAACCTTTGTTAATGGTTTTTTTTTCTTCCTTCCTTCTAATAAATAGTTTTCCCTTCCATTTGGCTTTGCTGGAGCTTCTTGGAAGTTGGAACTTATAGTACAGTACCCTGAGATCCAGGGTCATTTTTCACAGAACTGAAAGTTATATTTTGGTTTTGCTATAGGAAGTTCAGTGACAATTGGGGTGTATAAAGTGAGGTTGTATCTTCCGTTTCATAAAATGATAACTATAGGCATTAAGAGTCTGAATGAGGACTTGTGGATGTTGTCTTGTTCGTGCTATTAGTATTATTGTTTGACAATCAGTGATAGACCGAGGGTTTACTTATAGTATTGTTTTGCCCAATTACTATTCTATTAGTTAATTTAGTTGATTTACGATATAAAGTCTGACTACTGCTCTATTGCAAGCATCATAGTCAAACCTTTGGTTCATTGCTATTTGCACTCTTATAAATTTGAGAAATTTCCATCACTGTATTAGTTTCTAACTTCCTACTTCCACGTGCAGATCCTACATATATGATTCGAGCTATCCCCAGTAATGCTTCGGATAATGTATATTGCACCCTTCTTGCTCAGAGTGCTGTTCATGGTGCCATGGCTGGATACACTGGATTCACTGTTGGACCTGTTAATAGCAGACACGCTTATATTCCAATTTCTGTAAGCAATTTTTTTCTTGGCACTAAGTTTTTGAGATCTTGACTGATGTGTCATTTTCAGCTTATCCACTCATGATTTTTCTGTCACCTAAAATTCTCTTAACCTCTCAATGATCCTTGGGTTCAGAACTTGTTTCCATTAAGTACCACTTGACCTTACACACATTTCTTAGTTATAAGAATGTAGCTGGAAACATTAGATGTGCGGGCTCTTATATACTAGTGAACACACTACTAATCCTGTATGCATAAATTGTAATTTTTCTTAAATATATACTTAGCAAAGTATATTGGCTTTAATCATACAATTGATGGAAGTGCACATTTCTTTCATAGGTAAGAAATTAAGATCCTGAATATTGTATTAGTTGGTAACGGAGTACATAATAGGCAACCATTTGAGAGGCTGTTGTCTCTCCCGTCTACTGGAGTACTCACCAGAAGTAGTACAATCACTCATCATGCATCTTTTCTCTCTTTGCATATCTAACCAACTCTAACACCTTTTGCCCTTGTATCTTTCCTCATCTGACCATCCATCCATACTCTTGTTATATTTATGCTTCTGCTCTTGCCTTTTCCTTTTATAAGTAAATTGTATTCTAGCTCCATCAATATTCCACCCCTTAAGATACCACCTCATCTCAAGGTGAAAAGAAGAATAAAGAAATTGAAATTGGCCTACTGATCTTGAAGTAGCATTGATGAGGAAACCCTTCCATTGGATTTGGACATGAACATCCTTGCCATTGTCCTCATCTACTTGAACATCCTTGCCAATGTCCAAGCCTGTGGTGAGCTTGCTCAGTGGGTAAAAGTGGGCTGAGCGCTGCCAAGAGCTTTTTTAGCACAGAACGTGGAAGATGGATTGAACAACCCCTCTGGTAACTCCAGTGTATGCCATCTTTTTCACATGTTCAACGATTTCAAAGTGCCATGGAACTGCAGGATGAGCTCTCGAATCTTCAGCTCACTATGTTTGTAGGTATAAAATTTTAAGTACACACGATCTCTATGTCAAATTGAGCATTTTGTTGCTGCTTATTAGCATGTGATCTAGCCATATACTGTTGTGCCCTAGCCAAGTGATCTTAATGTTCTTTCAGCCTTGAATCACGCTCTGTCAATTTTTCTTCTACGCTAAAAACAATAGAAGAAATCTGGAGTATATGGCAGGATGGGTGGAGAACCTTTGCCATATTGCACAAAGAAGGGGTGGAGTCTGACACGGAGTAATGAGAGGTGCTATACTAGAATTCTGCTCATGGAAGCCATCTTACCAAGAGTTTGCTCAAGAATAGATACAGTGGTGGTCACGTCATGTTTATGGTATTGGAAGGTGAATAGCCTGAGGATTTTATGTAAAGCCGTTGTTCTATAATTATTGAGTGGGGGTCAAACAATCGAAACATAGTTTTAGATTTTTGATAATCCCGGATCCCTAATAAATCCTTCCCTTTAGGTTAGGCAGGCAAATTTATCATTGCTTAATCTTGTTGTCATTTTTGTGCGAAGACATACTTAGCATTGGCAGGCTAATTATTGATCAAGGTGTATCAGATGGTGGCCAAGTGCTGGGCATGTAACTTCAACCTGGAGCTATAAACAAGTATGTGATCAAAAAACATCAAGACAAACTTGCTGAGGAACTCATGAAATATATAATTTGCGAGATGTTAGAGAGTTGACGGAGCATTAACAACAAGATATTAGCCTTGTTTAATATTCTTGTTGTTTAATCCTCAGGTGGGACAATGACGAGAGATGTCTAACACTTTTTTGAGGACGCTATCATTGCTTAAACACATCACAATTCTCAAAGGAATCTCTTACCACTCCTACATGGAATAGGCACCCCTTTTCAAAGTAAAATCTCATTCCATTCATGCCCCTGTTTGGATTTGACAACTTGAGATGTCCAGAATTTTTGAGAATTTGAAAAGGAACTTTCATAGGCACCACCAAATTTGAGACGTCATCCTTAAAGCACTCTGCTGACTGCTTAATTGCATTCACGATAGGATTCTCATGATTTAAAAAGAGAATTTTTAGTAACATTTGGCTTGTCTCCCGTTCTCTTAAGCTTCTAAGCAACCCACTTTCGTACGATTTTGGACTCCAACCTTCAGCAGATAAAATTTTCTGTTAAATACTCTATTGCCCCTGCATGATATTCACACTGTGTATTTGGGTCATACCAGTTAGGGTACTTCGGTGTGTGGGATCCTGAGGCTCTAGGCAATCTAGTGATTTTGGATTGACTATAGCAAACGCTCGAGTTATGGGGTGGGATCAAAATGAATTTGACTCCAATTATTTGCTGTTTTGGTGTTCGTGCATTTGGTAGAGAATTGTGGCATAACTTGCCTGTGTCCAAGTGATGATATGTACTGGTTACTATAAAGGCGTTCAGGTGTATTTTGGATTTGGGTTTCTTATCCAGATCTGCCCCTTCCCTAGTATTAATCTCGTGAACTTTCCTCCTTCCCTTTTCAAAAGCTATATTGTCTTTGGAACTTGCCTCTGCTGCAACATCGATGCTCCTCTCACTTTTAACCTCGTACACAATTCTTTCTTCAATGGTGTCGGTGATTTATCATGCCATTGATATAGGACATCATTCATATATTCAAATATTACTTATTATTTTTATTTTTTTAGTTCCAAAATCTAACTTACAATTTCCTACGCATTTCTTAATTAATTTATTATACAGTGATATATGGACTTCTGAACATACAATATTGCTGCAAATTTAGAGTACAATCACATGTACGTGGGACACAATGATTTCATTCTTGTTATCGTGCTTACGTGATTTTGTTGCGAGAGTGCTCTCTTATATTGCTTCATTAATATAAGCAGGTGGACTTATATTATTAGAATGAATAATGTTATTGTGTAGCGTGTTACGGAGACGCAAAACACGGTGAAGTTAACCGGCAGAATGTGGGCAAGGCTTCTTGCATCTACGAATCAACCTAGTTTCGTGACAGATAATGAAGCACTGAACGGAGAAAAGGCTGCTGGTATCAACAACGTCGAGATTTCTACTCAGAGTTAATGGTCATTAGTTCGATTCATATCGGATTAATCTCACTTCCAGATTCTTTCATGTTACCAGTCAGTATGTTGGTTTGGCAATTAGGATTTTTGTGAGGTATCTGCTTTAACTAATGCCTCCATCCTCTTACAGACGTCTCATTTATTTGTTAGGTTGAGTGCTAAAGGAGCAACAGTCTAATGGTCGCGGGCATAGCCATAGAAGAGATTCGATGGGAAAACCTTGTCTTCATTAACGAGAGACTTTCAGCCATTAAAGAGAGGAATGACAAAGAAGCGAGAGAATTTTTTCAATTTCATTAAAAAAAAGTTCTCCTTTATCTTCTTTGGCACTCTTTATTGGGTGAAAAATTCTCGTTATCAAAGGCGGGGTTCTCTCATTTTAGCTGTATTTCCCGAGTGTTAAAATAATATAGCAGCTGCAGTAATATAATTTTGCTGTGCTCTTCTATTGCAGTACTCTTTGATACACGAGCTCAGAGGAGCTCGCAACTATGACTTTTGCTTCTTGCATTTGCTCTCTCACACTCTCATCTCATTCAGACAACAGGTATGTACATCATCACTTATTACTACTTTAATCTGTAAATTTCCTCTGTTGAATTCTATTATACTGGCTTAATTAATTTAACTCTCTAGGAAACGCATAATTCATACAAATAAAATGTTTTTTTTTTTAAATTAAAAAACTATTCTTCAGCTTGAATGAGGCGTTTGTGCTTTTGTTGTGTTGAAGGATATTCTAACTTCTAAGAACGATTATAAAAATTTCTTAAACTTTTGTGTGTAAAACTAATGAGTGAAATTTTAACATTCATTTAACTGAGTCATAAACCATCATTATAGGACTTATATTTATAGAAATAGTATGTGTACATACCAATATAAATAGTTTCCGGTATCTGGATGTCCTAAATTTTTACGGAGTGGCATTAAAATAATTGAGATGGATAAAACATTATTTGAAAAGGTGAACAAAAAAATAATGAGAAAGTTGGTGTAATGTGACACCGATTGTTATTATTCTTACTCCTACTCTTATTCTTTTTCAGTTTAATGAGAGGTGTGAGTTTGGAGAATATAGACCTTGACTAGTTGAACTATGTTTAGGTTTGACACAAATGATTCTTTTATCTCAAAATATTGTCATGATAACTTTTCCTATAAAAGTTGATGGAAGATATGGAAGATGGGAGGGTGAGAGAACCATGAGTACCGGGAAAATATGAAATTATTGAATTTACTGTAGTTCTAGAACACTTGGCTTTTAGGTAATGGGTGGTGATTTTAGCACTTTTGATTGCATGACTTTCTCGACATATTTATGTTGTGAAATTTTTCAAGCTAAAGGTGCTAATTTAGATGAGACAAATAAAAAGTGGTAGAATTGTTTACACAACGTAGATTTCATTCCGTACTTGTTCGGGAATTATTTCAAAATAGCCCTGTTTTAGGAACCAAAATCATAATTGTTCTTTAAATTTGTTATATTAACTTTTTAAACTGAAGTTTGTAAATAGTTA